AATATCTCACGGCGCTTCGCGCTTGGTGATGTGAGAGCCTGGTCCGGTGAGAACCCGGCGTGCTCCGTCCCGGCTTTGTAGGAATGCGAGGTCAATGGTCTAACGACTACGGCATGCACGACTATGAGTACACCCCCAAGGGCTCGTAGCAGCTGCGTAAAAACTGACTGAAATTACCAACAACGTGACATATTATCTTTCCTTTCGTGGCAGAATACCAGGTGTTCATTTTTTCTTGTCTAGAGGTATTATTAAGCAAACCAATCTGATGTCGAATCCCCCTGATTAACTCGGATTGGTACATGAGAACACTCTGGGCGCCTACTCTGCCGTGTGTAGCGCGGATTTCGTGTGTTTTTGTTGTTTGTTGCTGTCGACGTGGTGGAAGCGCATGTCCTGTGCACCCGCGAGTTTCAAATTTATCGAGCGTAGTACACACACGATACCAAGGGCGCTACAACACAATACAAGTGTCGGACAAAGGGCGCGACGCTAAGGTTCAAAGGTTCAACAGACGAAAGACAAGACCACGAGTGTGAGTGACGAGCGCAGTACACACACACCAATATGTGAATTATGAAATATATATATGAAGTATAGATTACACTCCATGCTCATTCATCAGCTCCACTTCTACAGCGCGAACCCAACGAAAAAAACTAGTTTTGCGTGCGGGAAGCGCTCACTGCATGTATGTGTGGACTTTCTGCCGCCCTCTCTGGGAGTTGCAAGGCTGGTACTGTTCACCTCGAACGTTTTTGGCCAAAGCCACACTTCTCTCGGGAACTCCTGACCACGACGACTCCTTTCAATGTCAACACAACACATTGAACGCAGAAGAGATAGCTCCTCGCGACCAAGGTTCCTGTTGGATTCCTCCAGCAGTCCACTATCGCACGTTGTCGTTACGTCATTTCGTTCTTCAGATTTGCTGATGTGAAACCATCACAACCACAACCACGAACATACGCCGTGCATCTCGGCATTTTAGGTCCAGGTTTAGCGTTAAGACCACGGTTAGGGTTAGGCTTAGGGTTCATCTTTTAATCAACAGCTTCCCCCACCCATCCGTATTACAGAGCTATTGCATGCCATGCGTACCTCCATTCGATAAACGGAACTGCAATCCGTGCAGGTGCCCAGATCGGACAAGATATAGACAAGACAAGGCAAGGTGAGAATACACCCAAGACTAGCCAGAATTTTCCCCCATATACGGCGGCAGCGCGTGTGCACCACCGGAGGAGCCGCAGTAAATGGCATATGGCGCACTACAAAAGGTAAACGAAATGGGCCAACCATCTGTCCGGTGCTGCCCAGAAGACGCCTAGTAGACTAGCCCGTCGTGCGCTGTGCCCAGTACACCGCTACTCGAGGGAGCGTGCTACATACATCAACGCAAAGGCGATCTTTGCTCCCTACTTCTGAATCAAGCAAAACACACGTCCATTGAACCGAAAACAGCAGGGATCACAAAACACCGGATTTCCAACTTGTCCAATATTGTAACGCTCCACAACCTGTACAACGACCAAACGTCAGTCTACTTGTCCATGCTGTTGGAGACGGCGTCGGCGGCACCCTTGATCTGGTCTTTGGTGGCGTCGACCACAGACTGCGTCTCAGACGCTCCCTCATTTTTCGCGGATTCGACGCTAGACTTGGCGTCCTTGACGGCAGCGTCTCCCGTGTCGATCGCAGACTTGGTGGCGTCGACAGCTAATGCAAGGGTTGGAAGGAGAAAAGGTCAACAACGTTCGTGTGTATGTAGTTAGAGTTGGTGGCGTCAACGGCTGCTGTAAGCGTTGGAAGGAGAAAAGGTCAGCGACGTAAGGTTATGTATGTAGTAAGACTTGGTGGCGTCGACGGCTGTTGGAAGGGTTGGCAGGAGAAAAGTTCAATATCTGTACCATGCATGATGCAATGCAGTTGACATGCGGTACGGGTATACAGTAAATGGTGAGCACCGTGAGACATGAGATGGCGATGAACCTCGCTCCGTTTTTCGTGAACGCAGAGGAAATACCGCGGAGCCTTCTACGGTGCGGCGCGTGACAGGGGGGGAGACACAACACATGCGTTGGTTAAATAATTCCTTGTCCTCGCCGTTAGGTACACACCAAAACATATTACACTTTCCAGCAGAACGAAAGTCACGATCTTTTTTTATAGTCTTGGAACACGAAGAGAAGAAAATAGTAGGGACCGTGTCGAAAGTAGTGACTCGAACATAAGCATGGAAACGTGTGAGTGGCTTTGGTGCACAAAAGAGCAAGGAGGCAAACGCTTGCAGTTTGTCGCTCCGAGAGCCACGGCGGGCGTTGTATTACAAACGGTATTTCAAACGTATTCGTCGAGTCATGCGTCTCGACGCATTTTCAGTAAATGTTCCAAACCTACAGCTGTTGTACATTGAAAACGCAGGTATTTTTAGCAAGCTTACGAACGCATGTAGGATACCATGAGGATTGTCAATGGTTTTACTTCAAATTGAAGAGGAGATATTTTTACAATGAAAGTAACAGTAGAAATATGTCTTACATATGTGGTACTTCGTATTGGTTTAATATTCATGTAAGTATGAGACATTAAGCGAAAGTTTTCTGAGGTACATCTGCATTTGTCGGAAGACAAAAAAATATATATATAAATATATATATTGGGATCTATCCATCAAGCGTTGCGGCATCAGCCGCGGAACACGATGTACATATTTCGTGAGGGATGAGGCCTTGCAAGGCCGTGCAACGATAATGACCACACAGCCGCGACAAATAACTGAAATAAGGCCGAGAATGACAACAAAAACATCCCTTTCGACTGAGGTTATATCTCGAACGGGTAGACTAGTCTTCCTTCTGTGAGGTTATGTTTACTTTCTAAAAACTTCGGGCATGCTCAACGTGCTCTCACTCTTGTTTCCCAAATCCTCAGCGGTGTTCTTAGCCTTGTCCGCCTCCTGCCGAACCAAAAACGCACAGAGAAGACAAATCGAACAAAGACACGGAGAAAAAAACAAGAGGGGGGTGAGTGTCATTAAACATAGTACAGCAGGGCCGTTTGGATTCTAGAAGTCGCAGATATCAAAGCGACTTATTGTATGCACCTCAGTGCCGAGCGGTATCCATCCGTGATCGGCATCAGGATCGACACGTCGTTGAGGATGGCCAATCTGTCTCGCCTCATATTGAAACATATGACGCGTGGGCAAATCTTCAAGGACGTCACGTACCGCGTCAGCGGTGACTCCGACAGCTTGTCGTGCGTACGTAAGTGCTTAATGAGTCAGGAAGAAGTGCAGGTTATACTGCTTTCGTAGTGCTCGCCGGCTTTTGCTCGTTGCTGTTTACAAAAAAAAAAAGAGGGTAGGCTGTGCATCCACAGCGCAAAGGAACTACTAGGGCACGGCTGTAGTGCAGAGGGACCTGCGTGCCTGCCTGCCAACTACGGAGAGGGTTTCTCGGTCTATCTGACGCCAGGCCGGCATGGCCTGCACATGCAGCGGGTACAAACAGTGCTGTCTAACCGCTGTTGTTGCTGTCTAACCGCTGTTGTTGTTTCCTTCGCTGCTGTATTTGACAGCACTCACCGAAGGATTTCCCATCACCGCGTTCTTCGCGTCAGTTGCTGCGTTCTTGATGCTTTCCATGGTGAAGAAGTGTTCGTGTGGATGAGATGCTAGGTAGGGTGAGAAAAGTGGACGTGGTTTAGGTTGGTAGCGAAAGAGAGGGGGGCGAAAACACGAAAATAATAATAAAAACATGTTCACATGTTCAAGTGCGTACCGTTGAAAAGATGCGGCGGCATCTCTTCTAAACGTCTAGAAGCGGCGGAAATAATTGTGGTGGAGGGTCGAGGGTCAGAAGCCCTCGGAGCTCTTCCCGTATCAGCAGGAAAAGCTACGGGTCCGGCATATGTTGGGAACATGTTAACGCGGCCAGAGCCATGGTCTCCCCGGCTCCAGTCTGGTGGCTGTGATTCAAACCCTGGCCGGCCCACAAACCTTCAAAAGTCTGCAAGATCTGACCGTCAGACCCTTCGGTACGAAAGAACCTTCTAGACTACAGCTGTCTCGCCCTCACGAATTCTCCGGAGAACGCCAGAACGCTCATGTTTCGAGAGCCTTTTGGTTTACTGCGGATTCCCCGACACCATTCAAACCATTCCCCACCCCCTCCCACCTCATCACACAACCCAAGCTCACCCTTTCTTCTCGCTCACTCAACCAAACTACCATGAAGTTCACCACCACCATGATCGCCGCTCTTGGTTGCATGACTGCTTCCACGAGCGCCTTCGTTCTGCCCTCTGCTGCTCCTGCCCGTGGGGGTATGGCCCCTGTGTCTGCTGCACGTCAATCAACTACCCGAGTCAGCAGCTCGATGGACGAGGTGAGATTCCCCACTCGCGTTTAAGATCTGTGGGGTTCATTATAAGCTGGAGCGTCAAATCGGACAGTCGAAGGCAGAAGGCAATGATCATGAGTCGCGGAGCGCGAAGCGTGACATTTTTTCCCGTCATCCCCAAGTGTTGATGGATCTTTAGAAAATGGGAAAAGAAGTCCACGAAGGCTCGCCCACACTCCGCACCACCCTAGCTTGACTGAGTTATTCGGTCACGCTTGGCATTCCTCGCCACATTGATTGCACCAAAGGAAATAGCCAACCTCCGGTGGCAGGACATAAGCCACCACAACCGGACTCTCCGCTCACCCAGTGAAGAGGGCATCCATATTGCCGTTCGACGAAGAGGAAGAAAAAAAAAAAGGCTCTCTCAGCCATCGCGCTGTAAAGAGCGACCCTTCCGCAACCCCCCCAGGGGAATCGTATGCCAAAGTACTAGATCGTGAGGTGGAATAGTTTTTTGTTGAAAAACGTACCTGCAGTAGGCTCCTGCGTTGCTACCATTGGCCCGTTTACTACACAGCAGTGTTGTTGTTGTTGTCTTCACATTAAAAAACCGTTCCGATCACTCTCTACCCGGTACCTTCGTATGTCCGTACTGATCCAACACTCGATGCGGTCGATTCCCGTGGTCGCAGGCTAACTTACCCTTAAAAATGTACACTCAAATAAAATGGCCCTGAGGGGTCCGCAAGTCCATATAAATCGACGACAGACAGATATTCTGGAGTCCTCCACAGGATTACAATAGTCTATATTCATGAGGTGTGGGGGGCGCCAATCGATGTGACTCCGGGGGGGAGGGAGGGGTGTGGTATATTACAAGATCGGGAGGTGGAATAGTTTTTTGTTGAAAAACGTACCTGCAGTAGGCTCGTGCGTTGCTACCATTGACCCGTTTACTACACAGCAGTATCACAATACATTGATTGAGGTGTGGGGGGCGCCCATCAATGATGCAATCAACACACGTCCGGCAGTATCAGACGTGGTGGCACCACAACTACGTCGGCCTCGTAAACTTGCTACAACTCGAAAGTCTGGAGCCGGTTGGGTCTTCTCTTCCCAGCATTGGCTATGTCGGTCTTCAGTAGAATCATGAGAAATCCATTTGCATTTGTTTGCTCGCGGACCGGCTCTATTTTGCAATCACGAGACGAAATCTATTTTTTTGTACACAGAAACGCACCAGAGGTTGTCTGCTTGTATTACTAGCTGTAGAACTGGATTGGATAGAAACTTGATAAATATGTCCATCAGCGGCCCGGCCCACTTTAGGTTATACTCGGCGAAACCTACCCACGATATTACACATGTACATAGTTGATGTACGGAATACCGTTTTGAACCCACGGAGTCCCGTCTTTGATATGGGGACATTCTATTGTTGGTCTGTTGATTTTCTTTCCAAGAATAGTGCTTGCCGCGGTGGCCCCGCCCTAGAATGTGTTATCGCTGTGTTGAGGTCGGTTTTGTGGTTGGATCAATCGGGTTCACAAACTGAGATGATCACTTAACAGCAGGACACCCACTGGAGGCGCGGTGGATGTCGCACAGGGTTGAGGCGTGGTAAGAGATTGTTTTTTTTCACGCACAGACACCGACCTGACGGCCACAGCACTCAAAAACACGCCCTTCACATCATGCATCAAACGCACAAACATCAGGACGAAAGTCCACCTCGCACAACAAATACCACAACATTCACCACAAATCGCATCCTGGTTGTTGCGGTGGTGGCGTGCCTGAGTGGTGCCGCTGTTCTTATTTACATTCGTTTTTCGCCTCCCCCCCCCCCCCAAAAACACAGG